TGTGGAGTCATATAGGAGAGCAGCTGGTGGTGGAGAAGCTTTATAAGGAATGTATTTTCTGAGTATAACTTTACTGTCTAATACCTCGTGTGTGTGATCAGCACACACAAGCATTATCTATATTCTAGAGTCACTTTACCTGAGGCTCTAGGAAGTTAAGGTTTAAGGCAAGTGGGGTTCCCCTGAACTTGTGAGCATATCCTGGAGGCAGCCAATGCACTGAGAATGCAGCGGGTTCCTTTTCTCACCTGAAGGACTGAATTAGCTGCTGAGTTTGATCCCAAAGTTTTGGCGAGAAGGCAAGGCACGGAAGTGTCTGCTAGACTTGGACAATTGCTCATGCCTGGCTTCTCCCGTGCGCATATCTCAGTAAAAGGCATAGCTAAGAGCGCAGAGAAGGCCAAATGAGGGGCTTCAATGAGAGCAAAACAGAGTTCTCTGTGAGAGACCCAAGGAGGGCAGACATCGCTCCCACTACGTGTGAGTTGATCCACCAAAGAGTGCAGAGCCCTGACACGGGACGCTACCCGGGCAAAACAAGACATGCCACCATCAGCGCCCTTATGTAAAAGGTCGCCCTCATAGAAGCAGCAAGTGCAAACCGTGAGCATGAGGCAGGAGATGGCTACGCAGCGCTCTCGATGCGCTCCAGACGCTTCCTGGGCGAAAATGGTACAAAGTGCAGTTTCCAGGGGCTCGCCACGTCTCCCACGTTCTCTAGCCGCCTATTGCCTCTTTAGAATTAGTGTCAACACTTGCCTTCTGTCAGGCGACCACCTTCCTCACGGAAAGGCGCGCCAAGGGCGGGACTTGGGGGAACAGTAACGCTCCTTTCGCCACCACAACCCTCCACCTTCCCTCGAGCACGGCCTGTGCCCCGGGTCTTCCTAGCCAGGCTGCCGGTGACCTAGCTCAGCCTTGGGTTTCCTCCAGTTGACTAACGCTGGCGAGAGCTGCCTCCCGGATCGCGCTGAGGACTCCGAGGGAATGAGGGCGGGCGCACTTTGGAAAGCCAGTTGCTGAGCAGATGGTAAGGGATTACTTCCAAGAGCCGGAGCTAGTTTCATTCCAGTCTTGGACATTCCAGAGGGGTCTCCATGCTTTCATTAACGAACATTCTCCTTAGAACTGGAGACTTGACCCAAGAAGAAGGACCGACAACTCAGGCTCAGACAAGCCCACGACTTCACAGGGGAACTAGACGGTTTGAATCCGGCCCCCTACAGGTAATTTAACCAGACTGTGCTTCAGGCCTTCATCTGTGAACTGGAGGCAATAAAGGAACTCTTTTCGTAAAGTTATCGTCAGGTCTGAGTTGATACTTAGCAAGCACATGGAACAACGCCTGGTACACAGTAAACACCCATTTCAGTGCTACCTATTGTTACTAACATTTCCTCATTAGGAAATTTGGGGACTGCATTGTGCACCAGCTTTCCAAGTGACTCAGTGAGGCTTAGGACTCCTTCGTGTTTCTAGAGTGACCGGAAGGAGGTACTGGAGGACAAAGTAGGCAGGAGGAATGTGTTCAGGAACCCCCGCTGCCGCTGAAGGAGCCAAAAGTTCCAACCACAGGCAGTAATTCCCCGTCTCCCCTCCGCCCAGTATAATGGAAGAGCGACAGGCTTACTACGGGAGGCCTGGCTGCTAAACTGGGATTGGGTTTGTATCCCCCCACCCCCGCCATCCAGGAACCCTTTCTTTAGGCTGGTAGAGGCGCCTCATGAGGAATGCGGGGAAGGCAGAGTGGCGAGGGCTAATGCAGGGCCACCCCGTGGATGAAGGTGGGCAGAGAAACCTGGGGTCGGGGCCGCCCGCGCCAACCAGTACTCAGGGCCTCGGAGAGGGCGCGCGCGGCGAAGCGGACAGGCCCTGACGGCCGGGGGGCGGCCCCGGTCCTCCCCTACACGCCCTTCCCAGGGAGTATGACGGGACGGTCAGTGGCGCCGGAGGCTGCAACCACACTGTCTGCACAGCAGCCTCGAGCAGGTAGAGCTCTCTCGGTTCCCTCCCTCAGGCCCCACCCACGGCGCGAGGACTGCGCGCGGAGCACTGTGGGCCGCACAGCCCACGAGCCCGGGTCGGACCCAAACGCCGGTGGAGCCTCTTCCTCCTCCGACCCCCACAATGTTTCCGCGCAGGCGCACCCTGAGCGGGCGCCTGGCGTTGGCTCAGCGCCCATCGTCCCACGCTGGGTGAAACCTGTCGCCCATAGACCGTAACAGCCAAGTGTGGACTCCAGTTGCTCTTCCTTCTGACGGATCCAAGATGCAGTGGTTAAAATCTCGAAACACTTGGGTTTGAACTCGGGTCCGCTGTGTGTCTTTGAGCAAAGCACTTAACCTCTCTGAACTTTAGTTTCTGCATTTGTAAAATAGTAAAAACAATATCTCGTAGAGTGGCTATGAATATTGCAAGGGCAAGCCTGGGTTCAGATCCCAGCTGGGCCACTTGCTTGGGTTAGTTAGCATCTTTGTGCTTGTTTCCTGTGAAAAAAAGGGGATCTTTGAAATAGAGATGATGACAATACTTAGCTCAAAGGGTTGTCATAATAATTAAGTGCGATGAAGCTGGCGGAGCATTCAGCCTAGCACATAGGAAGAGACCAAAAGTTAATCAGTAATTTAAAGCATCTCAGTGCCTGCCACTTTGAGATATTGGGTAAATATAACTTTTAATCTTAGCTCTCCTACTACACTTTTTCTCCTCTTTAGAGAAAAACAAGATGCCAAGGTGCATGTTGGGGTGGTAGTGCTCTCAGAGTTGAGACAAAGTAGCTTGTGGCAGAAAGTTAGGTGACACTTCTGGAAGCTGAACGCCTGTCCTTCTGGCCTTTCCTCTTCAGTTTCTAGGGACAAGATAAAAGAATTGGAAAGGCAGGGAAAAAGGTCTTGAAAAATGGAAGATGCTCAACAAATGTTTCTTGACTCGAAAATGGCATTTCAAAAATCAGGGAAACAAGAAATCTGTCTGAAGTGGGAAGGGAAACCCAGAGTTGGGATTGGCTGCCATCTCTTGGTGCCAGGCTGTCAGTAGGCATGTGGGCCTCTATACGCTGGAAGCCTTTTGGTAAGACTTTATGTTAGGTCCCTGGGAGGAGAATATCTCAGGGAGGGGGGTGGCACTGCTCTAGGAGAACAGATTCTTAGGGCAGAAGGAGCAGGGAAGTGCACCCCCTTCATATGGAGCATATGGAGTGCACACCCCTTCATATGCATATCCTAGCAGCAGACACAGAGCATACTTGACTTAAGATAAGTAAAACTTAAGTGAGAGTGAGAAAAAAGAGAAAAGATGGGGACATATCTTGGGGTAAATTAGGCCTCCAGTAGAG